GGGGCCGGGGTCACGCTTACCGGCGGAAAGAGGCGCTGGTTCCCCTTGCAGAAGGCAGCTGTGGGGCGTGGGGACCTGTGGTGCCCTTGGCTTGGTCCCCTGAGCCACCCCGCCGGGCTGGGAGCAGGGCTTGGGCGGCTGAACACTGGCGAGTTGCTTTCTTGCTTCTGGTAAATAGTGTCGTCGAGATGGGAAAATGGCTTTGCGGTTCTGTAAATGTGGCCGCTTGTTGTCTGCGTTGAAGATGCAAATGTTCTTTCAAATAAAGCATTGGGGGCTGTTAAAATCTCAGTAACTAAGTGCTGTAAAATATTTCGGTGTGTATTTGCGATCTATAGCGAGGGGCGCTGTTGTAAGACATCAGAACAACTAATTGTGTTAAATTAAAAAGAATCTCTGGTTCTTGAAATAATGAAATTAAGAATTTTTCTCTAAAGAAGTCAGCGTTGACTTTAAGACATAGATTGAATCGTATGACTTCCTTCAAGAAAAAATAATCTGCATTTCAAACCGTTTTAAGGAATTCTGACAAAAGGCGGGTTAAAAGTGTCTGTTTCGAGTGGCGCTTGCAAATTTGATCCCATATAACTGTTGCTCATGGTTTAATATTATTTCCTTAATAAATTGTACTTGGCTCTCTGTTTGAAGTAAAGGAATAGAAAGGGTCGTGGGCATTTAGCATACTTTTTGTATCAAATGCTGCTATCCTATTGTAAACATTGTCTTATCTTTTTATACAAGCTGTTTGTAAAATCTTTCCTTTTTATTCTTGAATTTCCCTGTATAAAGCTAAGTAACTTGCTAAATTTCTCGGGATGGGGGGGAGGAGGGAAGTCAGTTAAATAGCAGTTGTTAATTGGTATGTGTTCTGTAGGTGCATTGTAAGGGCTGATGCTTTCTTTGTCTTGTAAGCAGCATGGAATTTCCTTTCTTCACACTGACTTGTCTCATTGTGGATGAGGTCTTTGTTTATCTGGAAGAGAATGATCTGGCTCAGAAGTTTCCTTCTGTAAATTCAACTGACTCTTAAGCAGGCAGTAGATTTAATTTAATATCCTTCACCTCAAAGTCAGTAATAAGGTTATTGTGGTTTTTTGTTTGTTATTTATTTCGAATAATTGGATGTGTAGGAACGCCAAACGAATTTAAATCGTGGGCAACTGTACATAATAGAAACACCAAATGAATTTAAATCGTGGGCAACTGTACATAATAGATATTCAACTGAGTAGGGATGTGAGCTACTCAAAAAGACTGAGCCCTTTAAAGCAGTGCCATGATGGTGGATGTTCAGCCTAAACACAGGACTGGTTGTTAAGAGTTCGGGGGAGGGTTCTGTTGTGCAGCATATTTCGATGATAGTGATTCCCTGTGGTGTGTAGACAGGGTGTTCTGGAAGGAGTGTTCTCCCGTTTTGGCACTAGACAGAGTCACTTAGGAGTGTATCAGTTGGTTAAGATTTTGCATGGTTTTTCCTACTTAAAAGAGTCTGTAAAGTGGATTTTGCAAAAACGTGGAGCTCTGTGTCTATTAAGATTGTGTTGTGATTGTATTTATGTATGTTTTTTAAAAACTAGATGAGCAACAACAGTAACAAGAGAGCACCAACGACCGCAACACAGAGACTTAAACAAGACTACCTTCGAATTAAGAAAGATCCAGTGCCTTATATCTGTGCAGAGCCCCTCCCATCTAATATCCTCGAATGGTAAGAATTAGAATGAACTGTTCACTCTCCTGGGGAGGGAACAAGATTTTCCAGGTCATCAAGTCTGTCTCGCTCCTACAGATTATGTGGGAATCTTGGGTTTGGGAGGTGGAGGGTGAAACTTTTGCTGAAGTGCTGCTGATCTTCCTTTTTTTCTGGAGAAACCGATGGCTGGTTGCGTGGGGGCTTTCATACTTGTTTCATTTTCCTCCTTTGTCTTAGGCACTATGTGGTGCGGGGACCTGAAATGACTCCCTATGAAGGTAAAAGTCAGCACGTAGCGAAAGCGTGCGGGTACTTTGTGTTGTGGTCGGCATGCCTGAGTAATTACGTGCCTCTTTGCATGGGCAAAGTGTAACTGCTGAAAATGGCTCTAAAAACTGTTAGTGCAGGTTCAGAGCTGTGGGTGACTGGTGTGGTAGCTTGTTGAGAAGAGGTAGTGGTACCGCTGTCTCTTAGTAATTTTTCTCTTATCGAGGATTCTAACAATTCAGGTTAAACTGAAGACAGGTAACTTCCTGTTCAGTAATGGCTAAGGGTCTTGGAGCAGGTAACTCACTTTAGGTAGTATGGACAGTCAAAGATAACTTCAAAAAGATCCCGTTTTGTTAACCCCCTGAATGTTCTCAGTGAACTGAGACACATATTCTCTTCATTAATTTCTCTGGCGAAAGTGAGGGACATAAAAGCCGTATTCATTTGGGGTAGTCACATATTTCACAAGGTCTTCTGGAGCCTCTCAAAACGCACTTTGAAATGGGCTTCTTCGTAGGATTGTGTTTGCAGTTAGCTGTGTTTCTAGAACAGTAACTGGTTTGTATTGTATTAAACACATTTTGGCTGGTTTTCCTGAAATGTCATGGACTTGACAGCAGAAAGTACTGTTTGTATCGTGCGTGTGAGAGCATTGCCTCCAGAGTAAACCTACTGCGGGTGGGGATTGTTGTTCCTGTGTTTTAGAGGTACAAGGTGATGAGCTCTTTAGTGTGAGGGGGAGAAGGAGACAAGTAAAGGGTTTTATTTGGCCCGTTTTGAGTAGCAGCTTAGGACTTAATCTTCATGCAAAATAAGTAATTCATCTCTTTATGTAATGCAGGTGGCTATTATCATGGGAAACTAATATTCCCCAGAGAATTTCCTTTTAAACCTCCTAGTATTTATATGATTACACCTAATGGAAGGTTTAAGTGTAATACAAGGTAAGGATTTTCTTCTAACACTTAAGCAATTAACCCCGTTTTAGCAATATGTATGATGTGTGATGATCTTAAGGGTAAAAAATAAACCACGCTGCCTGTCTGCCCCTTTTGAAGGTTGTGTCTTTCCATCACTGATTTCCACCCGGATACATGGAATCCAGCTTGGTCGGTCTCGACGATCTTGACGGGCCTTCTTAGTTTTATGGTGGAAAAGGGCCCCACACTGGGCAGCATAGAGACCTCGGAGTTCACGGTAAGCTCCAGGCTGCGGGAGGTGCTTTTTGTCAGCCTGGGGAACGTGGCACGTGGCCTCAGAACAACAGCAGCCGCCGGCGTTGCGCTGTCTGGGACGTGGATATGTTGTTGCCCACAGTGGATGATGGACAGAGGAATCAAGTCAACTGTAGGTAGTGTGGGGATGGGGGGAGGATTTCTTAGAGAGTTGAAAACCCCTTTTAGTAAACAGTACGGTTAGGACTTCCTTTCTCCTTCCTTCCTTCTGGAAGTGCCCGCCAAGCAGGCACGCTGGTACAAAGCACTAGTCCCATAAGGTGAAGTTAAGCCTAGAAAAGCCTGTTGTGGTGAATGATATTCACAAGTATGAAGTGTTAAATGTTAGAAACTAGTTGGCTGGTGGTTTGCACCGTTCTTGTGGGAAATAAGCTGTTGAATTGAAGTGCATTAACTTTGTTTATACGCAACTGCTGATAATGTGTTTCCTCCACAGAAAAGACAGCTTGCCGCACAAAGCTTAGCGTTTAATTTAAAAGATAAAGTCTTCTGCGAGCTCTTCCCTGAAGTGGTGGAGGTAAGGGAATTCATCTGTGCAATCGTTTGGTTTTCTGTGGTTCTTCAAGTTCTCTGTGTAGATCTGTAAACTAATTGTTTAGGACTTTTCCCAGACAGTAGCTACTTTTGTCAGTCTTGGAAGCCTTTTAAAAGGTGCTTTTGCTACATGTAAGAATGAAAAACTTGAATCTTCAAATGGAATTGTTTTTCTGCTGCACAAAGATCCCTCGTGTAGAGAATCAAGTGTGTGTGTTTAGTATATCCTAGCCTTAGCTGAGCTCCACGTGCAGCAGATGTGGTTGCGGTCCCAATATTTTAGAATTGTACACTCTGTTGTCTTGAGTTTGGGCAGGACTGGTCTTTATGGATCTGGACTTGGTCCATCAATAGTCTAGATTTTTTTTCTTAATTCTCCTTTAAGATCAGAGACTGTTCTATTCTTCCTGGTGAACTTCTGAGAATGTGTGATGTCTTCTTATGGCATGGATCTTCCTTGCACAGCACTAACCCCGTAGGTGTGTTGATACACAGAATATATTGTCACCTGTAGGTAACAGCTGAAGGATACAGACATTTGCTTCGTGTAAGGCTCTGAGCATGCTCATCCTTCAGCCACACAACAGTTACACAGATGGTACAGGTTTAAGAAAGAAAGAAAAAGAAAATCTCCCTTCGTTCAGACCTCGGGGATTCCGTAGCCAGTTTCCAGTGATGCTACTTGGTTCTAAAAGGTCTCACCTGTTAGGAGTGAAGGATGCTCCTTTCTTCACTCCTGTCTCAAGACGGTTCCTTCCCTGTAACTTCTTGGTGAAGGATTTTGGTCCTTTCAGCCTGCTGCTGAGACTTGGAGAGTTAATTTTCTTCATGCCGTATGGATGAGAACAATTCCCTGTTACGGACTGTTTCGTGACTCTGGAGTTACAATATTATGATGCTGATGCTCGTTGTAATTTGGAATTCTAGGCAGGAAACTTGTTTTGTCAGGCAAACTGTTCTGGGTTGTACAAATTTCACCAAATCACAAGGCTTTAATAATAGCACCAAGAATGTGTACTGTAAAAGAGCAGGGGGAAGATACAAAGAGCCGGTTTCTGTCTGTTTTCAGAAGCATGAAAGATGTGTGTTTTTGTTAAGAGGTAAACTGAGGTCATAAACACAGGAGCCCAGCTGGTGAAGTAGACGTTGTCCACAGACAGAAATGGCTTTTCTGGGTGGAGTGGTGAGGGCTTATGGAACTTCAGGTTTCACTCATCTGTTATTCTTAAAGGTATTCACAAAGCTCTAGTTGAAAAAACATTCTCCCTCTTTGTCTCCTTTTGGGACAGCCTTCTAGGAAAAGAAAAGTTTTATTTCCTTTCTTCCTCATGCAGATAGGAGTCTGAACTGAAGGTTTTAATTGCTTTTCGTACCAGTTACAAGAATGCCAGCGAATCAGAAATACTTTCTGCAGTACAGTTTTGCCAATCCCTAAATCGTCAGGAAACTCTGAAGACAATGATAGATAACTGCTGTTGTGCTCCAAGTACAGGCAGTTTTTTCATGTGTAATACTTAGAGTCCTAATCCTGCTCAGCTTCGATGATTGCTTTTTTCATTTATTTAATGTCTTCTGCTCAAAACAAGCTGAACGTGCAGGACTTTGGATGCAAGAATTTCTCATTTCTGAATTAAAGGCTTCTTAGGAAAAGTACACGTGAACAAGAAATAAACTTGGCCAGCTGATTGTTAGTGCCAGCTACTGAATAGGTCACTTGGGAAGAAGTTGGGGAGACCTTATACATGTGCATGATGCAGTTAATTTGGTTTGAAAGCCCTGCAGTGTAAACAAGTGTCCCATATCCTTTTCCTGAAGTTACGCAAGAACTTGGTTCCGAAATCTTTTCAAACCACCGAACAACTTCACCACTTTCACTTCCAGCTACTCAGTTTCCTTTTTTTTTTTTTCTTTCTCCAGGAGATTAAACAAAAACAGAAAGCGCAAGAAGAGCTCAGTAACAGACCTCCATCCCTCCCTTTACCAGACGTTGTCCCTGATGGGGAAGCACACTACGGTCAGAACGGAATACCCCTTCTTAACGGGCACGTACCCTTGGCACCTGCCAATCACCCCGGTCTCCAACAGGCCAATCGTAACCATGGACTTTTAGGCGGAGCTTTGGCGAACTTGTTCGTTATAGTTGGTTTTGCAGCCTTTGCCTACACAGTCAAGTATGTACTGAGAAGCATAGCGCAAGAATGAGAATAATAAAAGAAATCCAAGACCAAATTAGTGGTAGTTGCAGAATGAGTGGGACTCTTTGGGCCTCTGACTCTGACACTGGGGTAAATATTTGTTTTACCAAGTTGCAGGTGAAACATCCGTTGGCTCATGGGTTATGTTTGGGAAATGGAGTAGTTTTGGTTAGTCAGAAAACTAAAAGGAGTTCCGCTCGCAGGTCCTCTTGTCCTCGCTACTATCTAGTAGTGGCTCACAAGTCAAAGCATTAGTGATGAGACGCTGGCATTTCTAGTGCTTTGATTTTTATAGCAGTTCTCCATCTGTTGGGTTGTTTTGTTTTGTTCTTTTTTTTGTTTTTTTTTTCTGAAATTTGAAAACTGTAAGCAAATAAGGCTTTTTACTTCATTGAACAATTTTTAAAATGTCACAATTTATGCATATCGTATTTTATTTTCATTAGGGAAGAGTCCGTACAGGTGTTGAAATGATTCAAGTAGAGATTTCACGTGGACTTGGTAAGGGTTTGGTTAATGTGAACATTGATGCTACAGCAGATTGCTGGGTTCTTTTTTAAAATAGGATGAACATCATTGCATATCTAGTCAGTAGTGATTAGATGAGTGAGAACATAACACCATGTGTGTTAAATGTGTAGTCTAAATCGTCACAGTGTCATTGAGGGTTTTATTTGGGCTACAAGAAGTGCAGTTGTCGGCCTTGAGGGATGAATAATGAGAAACAACATTTGAATCAGTCTTTAGTGGGGATACCCATATGCGGTCTTGTTTTGGGTTTATTCACTTAAAGATTTCCAGTTTGGAGATGCTGTGTTTGAAAGCTGTAATACTGAATTTTGATCACAAGGTGCCACTGTTGAAAAGGATAATAAAACCGCACACACCAACGGAGAGTCGATTGTGTATTTGGAAAATCTTCTCTGGATTTCTTGGGCCTTTGGTGAATGAAGTGACCCTAGCCCTTGTGAAGAGAAAAAGACAAACGAATCCGAATAGCAAACCAGCTTCTTCAGAGTCAACCAAATTAATCTGAAGTGTCACAAGCTGAAGTAAACCCTTAAAATTAGTTCTATTTGCTTACTTGAAGATTTGCATAAACTCTTAAAAAAAACCCACCACCAAAAGCCGAAGCCCAAACCCTTCTAATTCGTCTGAGATTCTAGAAGCTTTTTGCTTTTAGCTGTGAGTTCATCCCGGTCCCCTTCAGATGCCTGAAATACCGATGTTTGTTCATGGGATTACCGGGCTGTGGCTAAACGCTAAAGCACCTAGCGGAGTTCAAAGTCTGTCTGAAATGACTTTAAGTCAGTTTGCTTGGGTTTCCCCCCCTCCCTGCTTCATTTTATCCAAATGCTTTGTTTCATCAGAGGCAAACTTACTGTGCCTTTCGTAATTTTACGACAGTGGTGCCTAGTCCTCTGGGGAAGAGCACGCTCACTGTTAGGGGTACAACCAACCGTCGAGGGTGGCAGGGTAAAAAGCTCTGCATCTCACTGCATAGTCTTACTTTAAGTATTGTGAAGAGCCCAAATAAATATTACCTCATGTGTCTACGAATGTTTTCGAAACTGTTTTATTTTCCCTTTCAGATTTGTTCTCCCTGCTTCTCCTCGCTATCTTGAGTTGTAAGCAAAAATGTCTTGTTAACCCATGAGCCATGCAGCTTAGAGAATCAATAAATGTGACCAATTCTCTGCAATAGGTAGGAACTACCAAGCTAGCAGAACAGCTCTATACTAAAGAAATCTTAAAGCAGTTCTTACTGAGGTAAGGAGGGGAAGGAGGAGATGGGGTGTGTGGGGGTGGAATTTGGAAAAGGCTGGATTTTAAAATGTATTTATAAACCTTTGATGATTTTTTTTATTATTATTTTGTGGGTTTACCGAATCTTATTTATAACTATTTTTTAATTTACCTCTTATGTGCTTAATCAGCTCTTGTAAAAAGAGAGGCACCAGTTGCATCTATCTAGAAACAATTACGTTCTGTCAGTCTGGGGGGCGTTCTGGAAAGGGAGGGGCGGTGCCGTGTCCTTCCTGCAGTGGTGGGGTTGTCGGGATGGCTTGTCAGACTGCTAGTTTTTTTTCTCAAAGCCTATGGACCCGTAGCTGGGGCTGTTCTGCCTCATCGCTTTTAGTATCACTCAGACATGTTTGTGTTCTCGCAATGCCTTTTCTTACCGTTGACACCGCCTAGAGACAGAGGCTTATCATTGGTTATCTGTGTTTTTCTGATCTTATGGAAGCTCTTTTGTCCACATAAATGAAGACAAAGGCAAGGAGACCTTGGGCATGGTGTGTTTGCATCTTTTGTGAAAGGTACCTAACCAAGGTAAAAGAACTAGTAAAATCCGGAGATGTTGAATAAAAGGCATTTTATTATGTGACAAGAAGTTGGCCTTAAGCTACACCCAAGCGTTTGAAGGTGGGTCTCTTGTTTTTAGTAAGTGCCGCAATTGGAAACAAAAAAAAAATCTTCGGTTAAACCCTGGACATGCTGCATTTTTTTTTTTCTGAGGATTTGGTTTTATTTCAAAAAACCAAAACTTCCAATTGCAGTTTCTCTTCAGTCCCCTGGATTCAGAGAAAGACTTGACGGTCATTTCAGGTGCCATTCACTGAAAGCTCGGAGCAATAGCTGACTGAACCCTTGCACCTGTGGCTTACAAGATTTTGATACATCTCCTCGCTCCTTGCCTTTGGTAACGGAAGACTTACTCCCTTTTGTGTAGGTTTTACCGTTTTGTGGGTTTTTTTTTAAAAGAATTTATAATAGTACGCAGTATTTGATCTTTTTGTTACCAAAGTCATTAGATGGAGTTAACCATTCTTTGCCATGCAAAAATACGATCATGCCCTGAAGCGGTGCATTACTTCATGTATTAAAGCTAAAAGCTCTCCCTCAGTATCTGATACCAGAGCAAATGTTGGGCCCTTCGCTTTCCTGCTGCAATTTTGGAGGTTTCTGGAAGATTGTACACGGGCGATAGGCAGTTTTTGCAGCCTGAATCGGAAGACATCTCGGTGGTTGCCTTTAAAGATCTCTTGATTTTTAAAATCCTGGACTTGTGTGTAGCCATAACTTTTCTCCCCCTAAGATTTCAAGGCCATGGAAGTTGCCGTACTTCAAGCATGTACTGAGGAGTAGAAATGACTGCATTGTAAAGTTGTTTGTTCATAATAAACATTCATGATAAAATTTGTACTTTCTGTGGGACTGTTTTTGGGAAAGGAATCGCTGGGAAGAAATCTGACTGGATATGTAAGGACTAGAAAACCAAAACTATGGCAAAACTGCATCTCTCCTACGTCCAGATTATTTTTTTTTATTTTTAATTTCTTTTCCCCCCAAAGTTGGTTTGGTGTGGCTTAAATCTGTGGTAAAACACCTCCAGGTAGTAACTTCTTTAAATCTTTTGCTTGCTAATGCAGTTCCTATACAGAGAGGTCCTTGTTTTATGCTGACATGAATGTCACAACTGTCGCTGTGGTGCAGTACCCGTTTGCAGTACCTACTCTGAGACGTGTAGGAGTCACCCTAAGATGCTGTTTCACTGTTTTTGCTGACAGTGATGATGTCTCTGAAGAAAAGAGTAGATTGAACCCTTGCTGCTAACTTAGCCGTTGCTGGTTGAGTGCTCTTTGAGTTTGTCCTGCCGCTGTTCCCCTAACATCTGGATAGCAAGTTCCGTGGTAGCTGGGCGCCTTCAATTACCTGCAGCCCAGACAGCTTCAGTTCTGTGCAAAGCAGTAAATGTTACTCAGAGGCTGATTTCACTTTTGACTTTCAGAATTTGAATTTGGGCTGGCATTCCAGTCGTGTGTGTGGATCCAGAACATAGCTGTTTGTAACAGCAACTTCTTTATAGCTTGATGGAAGCGAGGGGTGGTTTTTTGCTTGACTGACATCTGCCAGGGCTGAGCTATGTCCTAATTTGTTTTAAGAAATTACACCTTTTCCTTAATAATGCTGGTATTTTTTTTCTTAGAACAGTTCTTGTGTCTGGAGTTCTTTGAACTCCGTTTTTAGACTTAGTGGGTTTTCGTTCATTTTGCCAGTTGCCCTGCTTCAGGTGGTTTTAGTGCTTGTGTTAGGAACCAGTCAGATGAGGGTAGCCACGTTGCTGCATTTTAGATCCGTGTAGCCCTATGGGATTTTTGCTGCGAGGATGTTGTTCTGGCCCTGCCCCAGCCAAATTCTGTAGGGGAAAAAAACAAAAACAACCACCTCCTGTTGCACAAATACTTGGATTTGAAGCTGATTATGGGTGTTGGTGGTGTGTATCTAGCCAGGTATTAAATGGGAAACTCCTGTATACGGAAGGCCAAAGAAATGAGGTGCTTCTTGCCCATCTGATGGATTCTCCAACTTTCCTTAAATGTGTAAGCAGTCACAAGCTGTCTTACCCGCGGAAGAGCAAGCTCATAATTTGTCATTAGATTTCTTATCTCAGGCCATGTGCTTCAAAAGGTATTTTTTTAATGTCTCTGAATAATTTCTGCTGATAATTTGTTGTTATGAGTGGCTTATGTTGCAGCACAGTCCCAGGAAGACGAATAGTGTACAAGATGATACTTTTTTTGCTGCCCAGCAGAGGCCAGATCTTAACTTCTAAAGCAGAAAAATGACGTTTTCGGTGGAAAAATCGCCTACGCCCCCACAAAAGGCAGGCTAGTGAAAATGAACTCAAAGCTTTGACATCTCCTCTTATTGAAGAGACTTTTCTGGGCAACAAACGAGGATGATTTATTCGGGTTTACCAGGGACCTTTTATTGCCCCGACAGCGTTATTTCACACCTCGGTCGCTCTGAGGAGCCCCCTGCAAGAGAAACCTTAGAGTCGCAGCAGCTGTTTCCCCGTTTTGCCGTGTTTCGGTGGATTTGCCGCGAGATGGCGTAGCGATCCCGCGTGGGTCGGGGGCGAGCGGTGGCCGGGAGGGTGCCCTGGGCTGGGGGATGCGGGATGGAGAGGGGAGGATCTGTGAACGTGGGGCGCGGGCAGCTCCGCAGGGGGACTTTGCAGAAGGCAACAGAAGTGGCCGTGAGCTCTTGGTGTGTGTCTTCCCAAGGCTGCTCTTTTGTCTGCTGGTGTGTTTGGGGCCGTTGTAGCGGCTTTTGTGCGTTAACCGAATCAACAGCTTGAGTTTGTATCGGATGAGCAGCGGGAAACTTCACGTTTAAACCCGGTGGATCTATCCTAGGGGCAGTCTAGACCTTTGTCTGCCGTGAAGCAGGGCTGGGTGGGTGTGTCAGTGAATGGTGACGTGCCTTCTGCTGTATTGGCTTAAAAAAATCACCATTTCTATACGAAGGTTTTGGAGTTGTTCAATATAGCTGCAATGGGCAACTCTGGGGAAATCCTAGCTTTTGACCTCTTGCCCTTTGGCTGGTATTCTTAACAAAGTTAGGTCTATCTTGAGTAAAAGGTGAATTGCAGAAGTAGAGGTTGAAAGATCGAATCACAAGTTTCTTGCCTGACTATTCGGTTTCCTCTCTAGCTTTACACACATTCTTACAGCGCCTGCAAACGCTGTATTTGGGTTTTTGGACACGGGTTGAAGTGTAAATGTGTCGTCTTATAATACCTTCCCTACTTCAAAACTTTCCTCATGCAGAATCGGTATTGTTACATTCTTAATCGTTCCCATTCTTGCTGCAGTGATGCTGAGCTCAGAGAAGAAACTGTCTGTCTTTTCAGTCGCTTTGAGATCCTTGGTTTGCTGTGCTATGAAGTGCAACATCGGCCTATTCCTCTTTTTTTTTTTTTTTTTTTTTTTGTAAACGGGGGTTGAATGTTGTTCGTGCCTTGCCAAGACTCGGGCGCTTTGGAACTGCTGCAGCTTGGATGTGAGAACAGCAGCAGCGAGGTGTGTTGTTTCCTACAGATAATACAAATGCTGAACTGGAGGTTGGAGGAGAGGTGACAACTGTGCTGACACTTGTTTCAGCCCAGCATAGAGACAAGGATACAGCTGGGAGTCGGCTACCGTCGGTTTGTCCTGCTGGACTATCCATCAAGTAACTTTCCTTTGTGCTTGCAAACATAGTTAGGATTCATTTCCCCCAAGTCTGGGGATCTAGTCCTGGGGTTTGGCTCTTGGGATGGGAAGGGAGATGCTGCAGGCAGACAGATGCAGCCTGCACCAGCAGACCGAAAAAGCGGTTGCCCCATTCCAGCCTCCGATGTCATTTCTTGCCATGGTGTGTGGATCTGTCAAGCTGTTTAGCTGCAATATGACAGATTGTCCTATTAATGTGTCATCAAGTGCACTTTTACAAATTCATGGCTTGTCTACAACTAACCTGAAAAAAGAGGCTTGAGTATGAGAAGGCGCCAAAGAAAGTTAAATATTATTAACAAATAAAGTCTGCCACGTAGTTTTGATGGAATGTGAGCTAGTTGGGGGAGGGGTGATATGCTGTTAACTATTTAGCTTCTGTCTTACTCTCACTCTCTTCTTTCCCAAACTCCATTTCTCTCCAAAGATGCTATATTTTTTAAAAAAAAAAATAAAAAAATCTGTATTCTACTTCTTGATTTTTGTGCCCAGATTGTTCATGCCTCAGTTTCCCTGAGCCAGAGAGAACAGAGCCGTTGCTCCTGATCCACCCTGGCTGCCTTTGAAGTCCAGTGAAGAACCGTGCTGGCGTTACTACTTGGATCACAGAAGGCATGGCAAAGAGATTGTTAAAAGAAACCAAATCTGTGGCTTGCTGACTGCCTAAGGGACTTCAGATGATGTGATCCTCAACCTTTTATCATTTTTGGACTCTCTCATGGTATAATCGCAGAGAAATTTTTGCATCATGCTCTGTGTTCATAGAAAGAATAGGACTATTTGTTCTAGGTAGTGGGGGACTAACAAAGATTTGCAGACTGGCCAAGTACTTTGAGATCTCCCTTATGAAATGCTTGTAGGAGATGTGCAACCTTTGGTTTTCTGATACTTTTAATAAACAGCTCACCCTCCTGTGAAGAAATCAGAAAGCCCCCGCTAAGCCAGCCTCTAACGAGAGCTGGGGGAGGATGTTGTAGGGAACACAGCTAAGGGGAGTGTAGAGCAAGAGTTCTGGTCTATCAGTGTGTGGTGCGATGCTGAGTGCATATTCCAAGCCACATATTTTTAGCTCTACCACACACTCATGTACAGTTTTACAAACTTCCCAGAAAAATGGTGATTTCTCTGAGATAATGAAGGGGAGGTACAGAATAGGGCTGAGGGGAGGGAGCAGGGAATGGGCATTGATTTAAATCTGCCTGGCACACGGGCCAGCTCCACTTATCAGTGAGTCTAATAGGAATGTGAAGAGAATAGGCTTGACAGCTCATTAGAATGTGATCCCTCCTCCTTTTTTCTTTTTTTTTTCTTTTTTTTTTTTTTCCTTCCCCTTTCTTGAAGTTGATGGAAACTCATTCAGGAAAGAAGTACTTATTTGCTGAGGTAAAGCAAAAGCTGAGGAGGGTTTTGCCAATGTGCAGCTGGGGAAAGGAGCAGCAAGAAAAATCTGACGTGATCTACACTTAGAGGTACCTGAAATCTTGCCTAGTGTGAGGGGAGGTGAGGATGAAAAAGACACGAGACTCTACATCCTGACAGCTGCTTGCGGCATCGGGACTTACTGCTCATCGTCTCATTAAAGGAAAGTGAAGATAAGCTCAGCTAAAGAGGGAGAGAAGTGAGACTTGGGAAAACTTTACCTGTTCCTAATGGACCTAGGTACATCCTCGGGGTCTTTGCTTCTCCCTGTTGTAACTTTTATGCCATGAGAAATTTATTTTCTCCTTAGAAGGCTGAGCACTTGGCTGAGCTGTGATGCTTTCAGCCTCTTCAGAAGAGCAGTGGCTGTAGCGACCTTGGATTACAGTTCCCCAGCACCTCGAAGAGAAAGGATGGGGACTCGTCACTGAGGAAAGGGAAGTATCATTCAAGAGAGAATGGATGGAACGTATTCAAGCCTGCTTTGAGCTGAACACCACGCTTCAAGTGACAGAAAGCGAAATCTCCTGTTGAAGAGGAGCAACCTCACCCCCCTAATGAGTTTGTGTTGTCAGCTCCGGCCTGAGCAACTGTTGCCCTGAGCAATTTGACTTCTCTGGGTTTCATAGTTGAGTGCATTTTAAATGAGTCTGAAGACTTATTGGTGAGGGGGGGGAGCGACACTTCAAGGTGGGTGGCAGGACTTTCCAGGGCCTCTTGTATTTATGTAAGCTTCAAGGGGGCTGAATGGACTTACCTCTTTTCTTCGAGTGAATCCAGATTTTTCAAACAAGTTTATCTGTACCATTTCCATGTGTCTTGCTTGAGCAGAGATCTCTCCAGCAACCACCGCATCCGTGCATGCTGCTCCTTTGACATTGCATAGCCCAGAGGATCACCTTTAATAGTTCTAACCTTTTTTTTTATTTTTTTCATTTATTCATTTATTTTTTTTTATTTTTTTTTTAGAGAGAAGTCTGTGTCTGTTCCTATTATTGGTGGTGAAGGTTTTGGTGCTTGGAGAGTGCCCTTCCTGACTTGGCCCCTCCCTTTTCAAAATGAAGGGGTGCACCTGGGTATTTGTGGCAACTTTACTTTGTCAGCAGTTTTGCCTCTTCAGAGTTACGGCAGCAAAGAGAGAGAGAAAGGTGAAGAAGGAACCTAACCAGTATACAGAGCCTTTCAATGCTACCCTCTCAAACAGCGAAGAGCTCCACGGGCATCCCAAGGTAGGTGTTTGTGTGTTGTCAGGGCTTGGCAGAACTTATTTCTGGCAGTAATGTGACGCTGGTTCCTTTTTCCAATGATTGAGGCAATCTTGCTGAATTCTATTTGATTTTAAAGGGAAATGTTCTTTCTTTTGCCTTTGCATGATTGATTTTTCTAGCTTACTGAAGCAAACACTGGAATACGACAATTTATAACTTATTTTAGAATATGCGTGACTGAAGTTCCAGTCCCGTAGTAGCTGCTGAAGTGTAAAGACATTTTGGAGCTCTAGTGTATGAACACTATCGTGTTCAGAAACAACTGATTAAAAAAGAGGCAAATGGGCTATCAACAGGACAGCAATGATACTGGAATATTAATGTATCTCTTGTAGGCAACCCCTTTACTCTCTGAAATGTTACTTCAAGGCTTTCTTAGGCAAATACAGTGGTATAAACGTCTGAGCATGCCTGGGCTTTCTCTGCCCTGCACCTTCCACCAGGGAGGCTGCGGTGCTTGAAAATTACAGAGGAGAAATGTTTGGTGTAGTCAGGCTTGTTTAAGGTGATTGTGGCTCGTGTAGGAGAAGGATTCAGGATGGCGCTAATCGTGCCGAAGTGGCAAGTGTGAGACTGTGTGTACGATACCTCAGTGGCTGTAGCTGATGACTTGCGAGGCTCAGTGAGTGGATCTTGCAGAGTAGGATCCTGCCAGTTACACGCTTGGGGGAATCACGCCAGGCTGAAAGCTGCCAAAAATTTCCAGTCAGTTGATCAGAGCCCTCAGAATCCTTTAAGGTGAACGTTTGCATAGAATGCTTGGGAGTAGGAGAGGGGTTTAGGGAATTAAAAGCAGGTCGTAGGATTAGGAGCAGGGTGAAATGGAAGGGAGACTACAACACTGAGGAAAAAGGGAGTCTCCCCTATCACACAGCCCCTTCTCTCCCTCTCTCTCTCTCTGTCTCTCCCCTGCTCGCACAAAAATGTCCCTTGTTTCAGATGGAGGTGACCTCTAAAACATGACTTTGATCACAAGCATTAGGGATGGCAGTCACTATAGCAATAGAGGAACAAACCTGTCAAAAATTGGGGCATGGCAGAGGGGGCAAGTTAGAACAATTGGGCTGACATTCTAAATATCCTATTGAATGCTGTTGTGAGAGTAATTGGTTAAGGTTGGGCAAGTCTGGGAAACACTCCTCTATATAAAAAAAAAAGCTGGCTGCTGCACTTAAAATTATCATTAGGGGACTGTGAGCAGCATTTCTTCAGCTAACTTTGTGTGGTGTATTGCAGTGCTCTGTCAGGACAGGTTGTCTACATGCTAAAGTCTCGAGGTGCTTACAATCAATCACTTTTTTCCTGCTCTCCCTAGAACTGCTTCATTCTGCTCTTGCAAAAGGGGCCAGGTCCGTATCTGGTGCAACTCAATTTCAGTCTGTTCTGGAATTAATTTGGCTTGATGTGAAAGGTGCTGGACCGCAAGCAGAATACATTCTGATTGCAAAAGCAAGCAGAAACTGGTCCTGGTGAATTCTGGTATAGTCATACGTACGTTATTGCTAGAAGGAACACAGTACTCATTTGGAGGCGAGTGGGCATTCGTTAAAACAGACGTTGTTTGGAAGCTGCAGTTTCTGTGTTGAAATACTTTGCTTTAAAATATCCATGGCAAAGGTTTGGCTGCAGTAAGAGCTGGCAAGTTCAGGGAAGGCAGGTTCTGCTTAACAAGGATAGGACAAAACCCAAGTCTTTGATGTAAGTGCTTCTGAGCTCTGCTTGCTATCCGCTCCCAAATTTTGCAGTGTGAACTTTTCTCCTTGGAATCTATTTGAGGTTGGAGTCCAGGCTGTAGTTTTAGAAGTATTGCTTCTAAATGTCACGGGTGGCTGTGTTGTATTTTATTTTTATATAGCACTTGCCCAATCTAAGGGATTATTTTACCCATATGATAAATGCAGTGCTTAAGAATTGCCACCGTGTCCGGGGTAAATGACAGCTGCCATTTACAGCAAAGCAGCACAGTTTGTGTTCACTTAAGGGACGAAGTAGGGTGACAGTAAAGCCATCCTTACCTAACCTGTCGAGCTAAGGGAGGGTTGAAAGCAGTTCTCTGTGGAAGACTGATCTCTCTGAGCCTTGAAGGTACTTCTGTGAGCGGTTTTCTTGCACAAAAGGATGCCCTGCACAGAGAAGTGAAACAAGAGCAGTGTCCCGTTTCATTTCTCTACAGCACATAACAGGAAAGATGGAATTTTTGTGGCCTTGTGCAGTAAAAATTAAGGCCGTGTTTACCTTGGAAGACTCTGTGGGCAGCTGGTCGGTTTATCAAAGCAGAAGGGGCAGGGAATGAAATATTAGCTGCGAGTGGTGATTTTTATTCATACTGTTAAAAAGTTAGATGCGTTTTCCTTCTAATTAAGCAAACCAATTTGGGACAGAGTTCTCTTGGGAATTCTTTTCAAATAGGAGCAGAGAAAGCTCCCTTTTAACATTCACAGTGCATCAGTCATGTGGTGAAACCTCCACCTAAAACAGGGAAGCAGAAGTCTCCTGGTAAACCTGATATTTCCAAGGAAATAGCGTGTTGGGGTTTTTTATTATATTTTTTTTTAAGTTTTTCTCCAGTCTTACCTTTGAGTTGCTGTCAATGTGATGTGCTCGCTAAGCACCTGAGAGTTTTCTTCTCTGACACAGATGTATTAAGAGAGAGAGCAGAACCTGACTGATGGATACAGAGCTTTTCATCTACTGGACCTTTTTACCTCGACTGTGTGTGGCTCAGTACCTGCAGCTGCCCCTTGCCAGGCTTGCCTTCCACTTTTCCAGGCACGAATCTTGTCTTGCAAGATGTGGTATTACACTAACAGGGGTTGATGCTGAGCAGGAGTTACTGTTTGATACCCGAGTAGAGGGAATAAAGATGGAGTCAGACCCTTAGTGCCCAGTGAAAGGACAAGGGGCAGTGGGCACAAGTTGAAACACAGGAAATTCCACTTAGATATAAGAAGAAAAGCTTCTTTACTGTGAGAGTGGTCGAACACTGGAGAAGGCTGGACAGAGAGGCTGTGGAGTCTCCATCCTTGGAGAGAGGCAGAACCTGACTGCATGTGGTCTAGAGTGACCTGCTCTAGTTCACCTGCTTAGAGCAGGGTGTGTTGAACTAGACAGTCTGTGTCTGGCCTTTCCAACTTCAGCTGTTCTGTGGGCTGCTTTGAGGGCTAGTTCAGCCAAGCAAGTCCAAGGCAGCATCCTAACCTGGGGAAAATTATTGACTCGGCATCCCAGTGAAATTTTGGGGATGATTTGAGGTCAACAGGGTTTTACCTTCAGTGGAATTTCTGCAATAAATAGTGTAATGCTTTTAATTTCGTTACCTGCTCCGTAACCATGGAGTCCTTGAAGTTTTATTTCCTTTGTGATCCTTCTGTCTCTGGCAAAGATCTATGGCTAGGGCTACCTGGTTCGTTACTTAAATCTCTCTGGATTATTTCTTTGGGGCCTTTTGCTTCCAACTGAAACCAGCAGCTGGTTCAGTGGCGTTGCACAGGTTCCATTCCTCCTCTGGAACGAGATTTCGGTCTTAGCCTGAAGTGTGAGAGTATTGAGAAAAGTATTTTTGGGCCTGACAAGTGTTAAAGCCATGGGAGAGACTGGACTTGGACCTATCTGCAGCAGAAGATGTTATCTTTCAGGTTCTGTACCTGTCGTCGTTGTCAGTCTTGCTCTGGCGTTATTACGGACGAGAAGGAAGGGCTGTAACAAACAACGTGCTTCCTAGCCATTCCTTGTGGAATAACCTTGGATTCATACATCTCCCTCAGCGTATCAAATAATTCAGTGCTTGGTCTCATTTCTCAGAGCCGTTTGTAAGATTTTTAAAGCTCATTGTTAAGGCGTGTAGTCCTACCAGATGTGGGTTTGGGCGCTAGATGCGTTGTGCTACGCCTGTTCTGGTGGCGCTGTTCAGTTCCTTACCTGTTTGTGGTGTCCCTGAAGACAGAACTCCCCTGGTACCTCCAGGGGTGGCACCGAGTGGCCCTGCAGTACAGCTGCCACAGCAGCCAACGCCACGTCGTTTCCTCGCTCAGAGTAGCTCCTGCTCACATGAACTGTTCCATTAGATTCATTAAATTCGTTAGGGGTGTGACCACTGAAGGCAGTTCGTGTGTAAGTGGGGGGGGAGAAGCTTTTCGAGATAGCCTTTTAGAGGAGGGAAGTATAATTTTTCAATCACAAAACATAGTGGGAATTTAGGTAGAAATTCCATTTTGGATTTGGCTAAGGTACCAAACCTAACGCTTCTGCTCTAGGGAAAATTCTTGAGAGATCTGTAAAAACCACAAGTGGTCAGGACCTTGGTTTTACATCTCGTTAATAACCAAGAGTGTGTGTAACCATAAGTTGTTAGCAGCTGACATAGGATTTTTCATGCTAAAGAAAAAAAGGCGGTCTGTCGGTTTTTAACCTGTTCCAAGTAAAATAAGCTACTGAAATAAATAATTTGCTCCTAATTTTATAATGAAGCTGACAGTACTCTTGCTGGTGTAACAACGTAGAAATCTGTGGATTAAGGTAATTGAAATTCTTAGTCAGGTCCGCTTTGTGTCTGGCAACTGCTTAACTGTTAAGCAAAGAATTCTCAAATATAACTCCCTCACAGGTGAGCAAAGACGTAGATAACGGAGCGAAACTTGCAGGGCAGTAACTTCAGGCATAAAGACTGTGGACTGGAATGGTTGGGTAGTTGTTCTTGGACACACACCTCTGACTAATTGCAGGTAGAAAGGATGCTGACTCCTCCAAAATTGTAACCTTGTCGTGCTTTCTGTCCCTCCTGTCCCATCCTGAGAAACGCTTAGGTGCGCCTGAGAACGCTTGGAGATGCTTTTAGGTGTACGGACTTGCTCACAGGTCGTGTTGACTTTTTTTTTTCTTTTATTCATCCAGACTCTGAAACTGCTTTTGTCCATTTCACTTTGGTTTTTAGCAGAGATGCAGACTGGATCCCAGTATGCTTGAATTTCGGGAAAGTTCAGATACAGTTCAGAAATTTCTCAGGATCCAAGCTCTGCTACTTGACTGCAGATTTCTGCAAGTAGTTTCTTCCTTGCTGGCTGACGCTTGGCCAGAGGCTGCGTGTGTCTGTGGGCAGTGCGTGCTGTTCTGGGAGTCAGAGCCAGAAAGAACTGTGGGTTCTGGTTGTGTACAGCAGTCTGAATTACAGCTCAACCCCTCTTTTATTGTGAGGGAAGGTAGGGAGAGAGCGGGCTGATTTCTCATCAGTGTCACAAACTGGTCCTGAATACAACTGCCATTGTGTTTGGATTCCAAATTAATGGTAAAAGACCCGATTGAAAGTTCATTAAAAATTGCTGGCAAGGCTTCTGTTGATTTTGGAGGTGCTGTTTCAAGCGTTAAGGACTAAGCCTGGTTTCACCGTCGTTAACACGACGGTTCCTCCCGACTCCTGTAGGTTAGCTTTGCTCTGCAAGCAGCACCCCAGGAGGGACGAGTCCCCTTTGCTGGGATTCCAAAGCTGTTCTCAGTCCTGACTGATACCTGAGTTGGCTGCAAGGTCTCTCTGGCTGCTGGAGGCTGCTGCTGCCAAGAAAAATAGAGGCTTGCATGCTTATTGCTGGGATTGCTCATGCATGCCATAGTAATTAAATAATAATACCACAAGGATGGAACATTCATTTTAACTGTCAATCATCCTTGTGCTGGAGCAATTGGGGAGTGCCATGACTGTCTTGCAGAGGGATTTGTAATTTAAGCAAGCCACTGGAGAGGTATGGGGGTTTTTATTTTTATTTTTTTTTTAAACTTCAGGAGTTTTTCATTTATTTTTCTGGGATGTGCCATCTGGATTTCTTTTTTCTCCCTGACAAGATGTCTGCTCTGGCCTGTTTCTTCGCAGCTGCAGCTCCAGAAAGGCTGAGGACATCTGTTTGTCTTCACAGTTGATGGTCAGAGTCTGCCCATGATTGCTGGCTTCTGCTTCTAGCTGACTTGTTCCCTCACTTTTGCAGTGAAGGGGAGTTTATGCCTGTCTTGCAGCCTGGTGGAATATTTGAATAGTCTCTTCCACATCTGCAGCAAATGCTGCATCCCAGTTCCCAAGGCTCTGGTCTTGTGTGTTCTGGAGACTGTGCTTCTGAGTTCCTGCCACATGAGCCAGCCCTTTTTGAAGGATGGACTGATTTTCCTTCCTTTTTCTCTCCAACCCAGCTGTTCTTTCGCTGGCTTCTGTTACAGCACGGAGGGAATACTCCGTCCTGCCTGAGCCGGGGGCTTCTATTGATAAGTTACCTCCCCCTTGTTCTTTGCGACCTGCACTGCACCTTTACCACAGACCTGTCAGTTCCCGTCACTGGGACAAAAAGACATCTGCCTCCTTCGGGCAGAGCACGGGTGGGCTTTTACCTGCTTTACATTTATGAGCTTTGTAAACTGAAATGCTCATAAACACAGTCCTGTGCAGGTGGGACCTCGTTTGTGGGGATGCTGCACCCATCTGTTTTCAGATGAAGTGGGGCAGGAAAGAACTAGCTTCTCCCATCAGAACCCCTCAGATCTCCATGAAACTCTGATACGTATTTCACGTTTGTTGTAGAAATAAGCTGCACCTCGTGTGCTGTTCTAAGGACTTTTGCAAACTTTATGGACGCTTGCCTCTGGGCTTGTTGTTTACGCGTTAACGATAGAGGGGGAGGTTTCTCAGCCTGTCTTTGACTTCTTCCTTATGCTTTGCAAAAACCTGCAGCCAAGCAATCTGTGGGAAGATGGTAATGCTTTAGTGAGGTGTCTAATCTTACAATACCCGGGATTTCCTGTGGTGCTCTGTTTACATTACTTTCCAGTGGAATTTCAGAAAGCTATTTAAGTCCTTGGTACAGTCAGTAAAAAAAAAAAAAAAGGCAAATAATAATTTAGCTAAAACCCACCCACTAGAACCCCTTGACTAAATCTGCAATTTACAGCTGACTGTAAATGTGGTTATAAACATAAAAAGTCTGTTCAAGCCTGATTTTGGTGCAGGAATAATGAACTAGATTGTTATGAATAGTTTGTCGTGCTGTTGTTTGTGGTACATGCTAAATTGGAGTGTCGGCGGGAGCGTGCATAACCATAACTCTGGCTCTGATTAATTACAGTAGAATGCATGAACGATACGGCGACGTGTCTGGGGATCCCCTTGCTTTGGCTTAGAGCGCAGCCGCCAGCCGCTCTGCAGCCATCTATCTGGAAAGGAGGATAAGTGGGCTGCCTGAATAGAGCCATTCAGTAGGAGCAGATCTTGCTGTGGGTTGCGTCTGAGCGGTAAATCACTTCAGATTATTTGCTGAATAGAGAAGATAGAGCTGGCTTCCCAGAGCTGGAGATGTACGTTTAACGACTGCCCTTGCTCAGCTCACAGCGCGTCTGCTTTCTGGGGAGCTGCTCGTCTTCGCCCGGTTTGTAAATTGTTTGTTGACCGAAGCCGTTTGAAATAAATAGTTGTGATCAAATCAGCTCAGAAAGCTGTGGACACGTGCCTTGTGCTACACCCATGTGCCTGGGTGCGTGCCAGAGAGCGAGCTTTCCAGGCTCTGCATCAGCTTAGAAGCACCGACATTCCTTATAACCTCCAGCTGGAACTCCAGCAGACTTCTAAGATTTAATTCTGAAACAATTTATGGTGCATGGATTTTTCCTAGCAGATCACACAGACCCTGGTCTATTCTCCTCAAAATGGGCTGGCCCTGCTATTTTTAGCTACCGTTTGCAATCCTCTGTCCAATTCCTGTTACTCCTAGTGCCCAATATTGCAGTTATTGGGACCTCCGCTCTACCTGCTTTCGAAAGGTTGTTTTCTGCATGCTTCTGCAGACTCATGAAGGAGAATCTACGCTTGTAAGTGGTACTAGAAACGTTATTAAAACTCAGCAGGGCTCTCTGAGAAGTGTCAAGTGCTTTAGGGAGCCAAGTGAGACGGGTGAGGAGCAAATGGAGGTGTTTGCTGGCTCGGTTGCGTGGGGAGCACCTTGCAAGGTGGCTGTGGCTGTTAAGCCACTGAGTGTAGAGCTGTAGTGTCTGAGCTGTGACAGAACTGTCTGGTGCTGTCAGACGAGTGGGAGCTTCATACCCAGGGGCAAACACTTCCAGATCTGAAAAGCTGACTGACTTTGCTTCTGTGCTTTTTCCATACCCATCTTGCCGCCTTCCTCCTGAATGGTGATAGATCAGTATTGATTTACCTAAACTTTACCTTAACCTAGTGGCCTAGGAATCATTTTAAATGTCATTCACTACCGTCTTGTGTTGCTTTCCTGCTGGAATTCTGATCTGTACCTGTTCTCTCTCACTAGGAGAAGAAAAAACAGGTTTCTTGCATGAATCCCAGAAATTTACAATAGGCGTGAGGTGGGGGGGGTTGTTTATTTGTTTTAAAGATTTTAAGTGTTCATTGCAGTTTTTCCTCTCTGGCTTTTTCGTGAATGGCTCCGAATACTTAAGCATGGTTCGTGAAACTTTGGGAGGGCTTGTGCTTTTGCCCTCACTGTGGTGGACGTTCGGGAGGGTGATACGTCAAAAGATTGGAACCTCCATAGTCAACAGTTAATTGTTCCTGGCAAGAGTGTGGCAGGGTATCGGTAAGCAGTGATTTCTGGTGCCTTTTTTTGATTTAAAGTTAGAAGTTCATTCCTAGCCTAGGAGAAAAACAACAGGTATGGCTATTTGATCGCTTACTTCTGGTTGTCTCTGGCAGGTGAGTAATGGGAACGAGAGAGTCCATAGGAAGTGGACCCAAATTCAGAAAGACAGATCCTTTCTTCTGTCCAAACTTTGCTTAGAAGGGATCCAGAACCAGCCTCGGTGACGTCAAAGCTTCTCTAAATAGTGTCTTTATGGCTATGATGTACTTGCAGAACACAGGAATGGGCAAGGTAGTTAAATTTGCCAATGGACATCTTTTCTGTGATCAGACATGGCCTTTGTTTTTCATTGTGGATTGTGGTTTTGTGTTTTTTTTTTTCCCTGTGTGTGCATTTGTCACTTGACAGCCTGTGATTTGAAAGTTAGGGAGCATTTCTGTACGTTTTAGTCTCCCTGTGTTGCTTGATGGATCCAACTGATGAATGTCAGACGCCAGCAGTGAACCATCTCTGGCATCTGGGCGGGTTTTCTGTGGCACGTGTTGGAACTGTCGAGAGGGCCGAGAGTCTCAGCAGCTTGAGGAAGGTCTCTGAGGTACACTGACCCCCAGCCCTTGGCTCTTACTGCTTTCTTAAGCAAAAGGAGCCGGGGGACTTTGCGGGTGCAAGCATATTAAGTTATCAGAAGGCATTTTGATGTTTTAAGGGCAGCATCTTCAGGCTTTTGGAACGCTTCTGCTGGCAGGTTTAGCCTGTAACTTCTGAAGAAAATAATCCCACTCTAGTGGGACTCTTTGGAACCCTGGTGTCTTTCATGCACTGTGTCAGAACTCAGGTTGAAGTACTATCCTGCGTTTGCAATGCTCCTGTAAATACAGACAAAAAGTGGCATGGTACTGGATAATCCAAACTGAATTGCTTGTTACAGAAGTGTCAATAAAATCCCATTTTTATCCCACCTTCAGTCTCCCAAATGCAGTACGTTTGGATCAAGGATGTAGTTTAGGCAGCAGACAACAGTCTGGTCTCTGGAAACTTTGCATTCTCTGAATCTATGTAGTGGCCAAAGAGAGACAGTGATGTCAGTCTTTGTTCTTGTTTCTCTTTAGATCCTAGAATCTCCAGATCCTCGAATCACAGATCCACGGCGGACCTGGATCTCCTTTGTTCACCGCCCAGACGATGGCAATACCTCTAAAAGGAGATGCAAAGGGAAAGACAAGAAATTAGTAGGTTATTGCTAGATTGCCGTCAGCTAATAAATGATGTGGCTGTGGCTTCCCTTCCTACTGCTGATGTGCAAGGTGTTTTGTATGCTCCAGCTTTTGCCTTCCCTGCTCGGTGTGCTGCCTTCTCATTTGTTTGTATTTAATTTCTCAAAGTATTTTGGAGAAGTTTGAGACAGTAGGTGCTATATGCTTGGTAAGATAAGGTATGTGAATTCCACTGTCAGTACTCATTTTCGTTTGAACAAGCTGTTTCTTGGACTGAGCCTTTTTTTTTTCTGCTCAGTAGAAATAAAATTAACATATTTTTTTTTCTTCCACTAGATAAAGTCCAAGTATCTCAAAGTATATATTAATCAAGGGGTGGACAAGTCATTTATTTCAGATTAATGAATTACTGATCATCTGCCGAGTGATCCTTGATCGTGTGTGCACTTTTAATCTGCTGCTTAGACAATCTTGAATGCTTTTAGTGATTTCCTTTAATTGCTCAGTGAGCTGATAGGCAGGAGTGCTTCCACGCAGGTTAACTGCAGTTTAGTTGAAGAAACAGGAACTCCCTGGGCACAACAGACATCAAAATAGCATTGATGGCGCTGTTGCATGGTCATACTACTAGTTTGAAGCCCTGATGTGTGTGTGGCTAACCTTTACAGGGGATTTGTTTAATTTTTTTTCCCAAGAGTTCTGCTGTTGCACCAGACGTTCCTGTATGTGATCATTATATCTCAGCAATGTATATTAATGCTGTAAAGTGTGGCTAGATGGCTATTCTAGTTAGTGACCAGGCAGAATAAGAAGCTTAAAGGCTCGTATGATACTTTGGTGATACGAGAAGATACAGAAGCAGCAAACTCAGTCTTGTGCCTGTCATTCTTCACGCTGTATATATGTACTTGAAGAACCAGTTAGCGTTTACCTGGGCAAAGTTTATCTTCCCACATAAAGATGTGAGGAAATTCCAAGTGCTGGAATTCACAGCTGGCTGGAGAGTCAGTTTAGGATTTGCTGCATAAGGCCTGTAGTTGAACTGATGGTGGAGGGGGCTGCTCACGTGGCTGGCAGCCCTGTACAACTGGGTGATGGCTGAGGGAATTTTGGGTCTGTCGGTGCGATTGCCTGGTTCTAATTCACGTGTTTTTCTTTGGTTACTTCTTTAGCGTGGCCTTGTTGGGCCTCCAGGACCTCCTGGTCCCCAGGGACCTCCAGGAGCACCTGGTGCTGAAGTCACCCGGGAAGTCCTTTTGCAGGAGTTTAAGGAGATATTAAAAGGTAAAGACTGTAAGAGCTTCGTGCTTTGGTCATCTCCTGCTTTTGCTGAGCACCGTGGCAAATAAAGAACTGGCTTTGCAGATGTTTACCTTAAAGCATTCCCTTATCTGGCAATCAAAAATTTGAAAAAAAAATGTTTCCCCAGTGCTGCTTACTTCAAGTTGAAGAGTTCGGTGCCGAAGTCTAATTGCACAACTAACGGCTTCATAGACCAGGCTCTTAAACTAAGCCTTTATTTTCCTGTATTTTCTCTTTTCTTCTCAGAAGCCATTGAGCGTCGAGCATCCCTGGCTATTTCGGCCCATCCTAGCCAGCTGCCTCCGCTCCTGCTCTCCTTGGAGGAAGCTTCGCCCCACAGACGTGTGGAGGAGGCGTTCCATTGCAAGCTAAAAGGACAAGTCATTGTCGATAAGAAGACCCTGGTAGAACTTCAGAACTTCCAGTCGGTGAGAAGGGATTACAGACTGAACCTGTGCAACTCCACAGCAGCCACCGTGCGTAGATCAGCTGTAGTTCCCCTCGTCTGCGAAGCTGCTAGGTGCCTCTGTAGCTAAAGGTGTTGCCTGAAAGGGCAGAGTAATCCCAGAAGCTCCTCTCAGGCTTGGATGCTGTGAATGTAGCGCTGCCTTTTTTGTGGTTGACAGGAGTAGGATCTCGTGTGGTGGTTTCAGCACTGCAGCTCAACTGCAGTAAGATGGACATGAGCTTTGAGTCCTCTCCTTCCTGACAAACCCAAGAGGCAGGCTCTCTTCCTCTCCTGCAGCCCGGCTGAATCTCATTACGGTTCTCACTGACGTTCTAACAGGTCTGTGCAGGAGAGGGCTGTCTCACAGGTCCAAACAACAGTCAGTCTTTTTGTTTCAGTTGGTGGTGGAGAAAGGCTTGTCCGTGTTTGCCATTAGTCTGAAGGATCTGTTGTTTTTCAGCGCACACCCTGTTAAATGTCAGAGTCACCTTCAGATGTAGCAAAATGTCAGAGGCAGACAGAAGCCGTTGGTTATAGATTTGTGACCCCAAATGAGAGCCAACATTTTGTTAGATGGGCCAGTCCTGATGCTCAAATTCTTTACATAATGAAGACTTTTATAGAAGACTGATAAAATTTACCTCTATAATTCCATTATAGTCATGTTGTAATGACAAGCACACCATCACAGGATGCTGTGGGGCATTATAAGCAAGGTTACAAGCAAGTTGTTGAGCTTGATATTAAAACTTTGACTAACCATTTCTGAACCAGTTGCAAATAGCATCTGAATTTGAAGTGTAAACGTTAGGCAAAGTAGTAGCTAAAACCAAATAGTTACTTGGTAATTGAAGGGGCTTCTTTTCGACTTTGGAGTCGCAAAGACTAAATAGCGCAAGGCCTTCAGACACATGGATGCTTTTGTGGTGTGACAAGAAGCGTTTGAAGAGTGCGAACGGGGAATGTGGCTTTCCATCAGCAGGGTTTGCCCACGCTGTCTGTGTAATAAGGTGCTGAGTCCCGTTTCTGAAGAATCCTGTCCAGCAGATCCCCTCCTGTGGAGCGGTTTTGCTGCTAGGACCTCTCACAGCTGCGGGACTAGAGGCAGGGGTTATGTTCTAAACAGGGTGCTTTCCTGGATCTTTCCCAAATACACTTGTGGAAGCCTGGTTTGACGGCGCTGTGGGTGCTGGCACAGAGACGAGATTGTGCTTGAAGTGTGGGCAGGCCTAGAGAGATCTGCTGCCTCATCAATTAGCAGGGAAAATGTGAATAAAGACATCTTGGCAAATCAGCGCGTAGGCTGATGCTTCCCGTGCTTTGTTACCGTGTGCCTAGCTGCTTTCTAATTGCTTCTGGCCCCGAAGCTGCTGTGGGAGGGCTGGCAGGCCTCTGGATGCCAGGCTTTCATTTCAGCTTTGGGACAAGAAGTGTCTGGTTTTAGCTTGTGCTCTGAGATAGGGGAATTTAGGAGGGGGGGAGGCAGGGGATGCTCTTGCAAAGATGAAAACATTGTCTTTAAATAGTCCAAGGGGAGGAGAGAGAGAGAATTCCCTTCCCTCCGTTCAGTTTAATAGTGTGAAGAAGCCAACAGTTTGATACTTGTCGGTGAGATGGTAGGGGATTGAGTCTGTTTCCTGGTTTTGGACCTTACCCAAAGCATTCTGAGATAGTGGAAAGGACTTGTGCTGAGAAACAGCCTATTGCTTCTATACTCTGCCATTTGCGTATGGTGTCTGTGTCACTCAGACCTTGAGTACTGAGAAAGCATGGTGGTTTTCTCATCCTTCCATGCTAAATTTCCTCCAAGAACATTCTTTATCTCTCCTCTTCTTGGTCTCACCATTTCCTTAGTATCTGGAATGAAACATGTGATATTCCCCACACTTTTTTCCTCCCCTACCTCACGCTTTGAGGTTTCTAACAACTGCCTCTTGCAGAAGCTTTCAGAATTACACAGCGAGAATTGACCTAACTGCAGCCCCTGACAGGCCATGGAAGTGGGGTTTATCTGAGGGCCGGGAACGCCACTGGCATCGGATCATTCAAGGTGGCCGACGTGCTTTTCATAGTGAAAGATCCCAGAAAGAGTCCTGGTGTCTCTAGTGCCTTGAGGTCAAGCTAAATGTCTGCCTTTGGCCGTTGAATTTTATTGCTGCTTCAGGAGATTGGTGCATCCCCTGTGAGTTGTGGTTGCTGTGCAGGCTGGGTTGTCCTTTTCTTTAATAACAGATAAGTCACTGCATTGCTTTCCGCAGCGTTTAGCACTGAAAAGCTAAACTGGACAGTTCACATCTCGATTCTCTGCATGTGGTTCCTATTTTCCCCCCAGAAGTACGAGGGAGACGTGGGGATAGGAGATGAACTGAGGAAGAGAAGCTGACCTTGGTTTGTACAGAATGGCTGGACACGAACCCGTTTGTTGGCTTTTGGTCTGCCCGCTGTGTGCAAGTAGTTAGTTTCTCAGATATAAACCCCTCCAGTGTTTGAAGCAGCAAGGTGAGAACGCTGCTGGGAGGCAGCGAATGCAGCAGGGAGCTCTAGTTGGCGTGGGGTTTAACGGAGTATTTTTCCCAGAGAACCTCTCCCTGCATTGTCTGTTTCTATGAGCGAAAGAAAAACAGAGCCACAGAGGGCGTGAAGAAACAGGAATGTTTTATCAGTGATAATTTACTGGTGCCTAAGATTGCCTTCCATGCTCATCGAGTGGTTTTGGAATTAGGTTGCTGATTCTGCTAATAGCCCTAACAAGAAAGGAGTGGATTAACCACGCAGGGCAGTTCTGCACATACGGGGCTTGGATCCGCTCTTTCAGCGAGATAAATAAAAACCAGCGTTACCGAAAAACGATGGTGTAGTGATGGCCTAAGAGTGGAACCAATCTCCCTTTGTAGCCTTTGCTGTTAGGTTGGCTGTTGTGCTGTCCGTGTGTGTGCGCAGAAAGAAAGCAGAGCTCCTTTTGTGTGTCTGTGTGTGCACGCAGGCACACGTCAGTGCCTTAGAAATCAGTGTATGAGATGCAGTTGTTGTGCACTTCATTATCGCTCTTTTCCCATTATAAAGATGTAATCTTATGAGAAATGCCGCTGCCGTTGCACGTGGATGTATTTTCACCACCGTGTCCGTGCATAAAACATTTCTGGTAAAGTTCTGTGAAACTTAAGACTACAGGTAGATCTTGGCAAGTAAGGGCTGGGAATTACTCTTTGGTGAGCCTTGCCTGGGATTTGCTGAATAAAGGCAGGTTAGTCATTTTCATTCCTTCTACCAGTAGTAACTCTCTAAACAAACACCACCAGACCCAAATATTTGCAGCTGCATTTCCTTTCAAAGAGAAAGCGAATTGTTCCTACCCTGCTCTGTGAAAGCTGGGCATTTCTGGCTGCGATGAAGCAGAATGGGGAGGCAATGAACTTCCTTCTGGTACTTGGACAAAGGTGTTCCACTACATTTCATTTTTTTTAGTGTAGTAGCACCTGTAGCAACGCTGCTACAAATTTGCTCACCGTGTCTCAGGCCCCTTTTGCCATCTAGCATTGGAAAGCACACTCAAACGTTGGGTTGTTGGGATTGCTCTGGTATGCATTTGTGCATGTTTTAGGGCTAAAGCAGCGTGTGTGCCTTTACAGAGTCGGCTTCGAGCAGCTCTTCTGTCCCACAAGACCAATGTGGGGCAAATCCCTCAGGGCAGCCTTCGTGGGAATGCGTTCACGTTGCACAGAACGCCCTTGCGGTGGAAGCAGAGTCTGACTAATGGGCTTTCTTGGCCCATTGAAGCCACTCCTGCTTCTCCCCAGCTCTAGCCAAATTCATATGAGGCAGGCCAAAACAAACAATAAACATTTCTCGCAGGGTTTATTTTAGTCTGAGTCAGATAATCTGCTGCGAGTTTGACTTAGGACTGCTTCTTTGCCGTGATGAGAAGCTGCATGCTCTTGTACTAGGGTTTCTGTAGAATCCAAGGCTAGAACAAAACGAAACTCCATCTGGAATCTGTAAGAATCCAAGCAGTTGTTCTTTAACAGTATCAAAACGGTCTGACTTAGACCTGAAGTGGGTAGAAAACCTCTGGAGACCCAAATGAGCGTTGCCTCTGTACTTGTATCACAAAAACAGCGTGCAAGGTTCCAGGTTTTTGAGCATGGCAGCGCTGCTTGGCCCCATCTAGGAAGTCTTTGGGAGTAGTAGGGACCTCTTGACTCACGTAACGGGTGATCTTGTGTAACAGAACAGCAGTGGAGGCTAGAGGCCACTAGGACCAGCAGAGCACAGGGATGCAGTAGGCACAGTCTGAGTCAAGATGAGTTAGAAGAGTTCGGCAGTGAGCAAAAAAAGGCATTTTCATGTCTCCTACTGATGGTTTTGCCTTTTGTGGTCATCCCATGCTGAGAGAGAGCCCATCTGGAAGGTGTGTTCTCAAGATAAGGCAGTAGCCTTGCAAGTTGCTTGGGCTTTTTTTTGCTCATTAAACTTGTTCTTTGTCATGGGCAAAGGTAATTGTTGAGCGTGCTGGGGACTTGTTCAGGGTCTGCTTTTCTTATCTTGCAGCCTCTGGCCAAAGGAGCTTTTCTCCGGGGGACAGGATTAAATCTGGCAACAGGACGTTTCACAGCACCCGTGTCTGGCATCTACCAGTTCTCAGCCAACATCCACATTGGTGAGTGGTGTCCGCAGAAACCTTTCCTGTACTGCCTGAGAGGTGCAGGAAAGGAGTCCAGGAGAACGCTCTGGGTCCTGTTTGATTTCAAGCAGGTGGAAGGGCAGCCCTTTGCCGTGAGCTCTCCCTTTGGTACCGTGACCCAAACCCCTGTCCTTAGAGCTGGGTGCTTCCGCAGGCTGATAGCCCCAGCAGGCTGCTCCATGCAAACCATCAGCTCTCCTCATGGAGGATGAGTTTAGGAACCAAATATATTCACGTGTGGAAGTTATGGCTTCCATAAAAAACTTTAGAAGAAATGAACGTGAAGCTGTAGAACTGCATCAAGGCAGTTTTGACTGTGTTTTGTCACCAGTGTATTCATTCAATGGTTTAAATCATTCAGTGATGAAGTATTTTATAATCTAACACCAGAAGGGTGCTTTCTGAAGAAGTTGTGGTGGGTTGACCCTGGCTGGACTCCAGGTGCCCACCGAAGCCCCTCTATCACTCCCCCTCCTCAGCTGGACAGGGGAGAGAGAATAGAACTAAAGGGTCGAGATAAGGACAGGGAGAGATGACTCGCTGATTATTGTCACGGGCAAAACAGGCTCGACTTGGGGAAGAATTCATTTAATTTATTGCCAATCAAATCAGTAGGATAATGAGGAAAAAAACCCCCTAAAATCTTAAAACACCTTCCCCCCACTCCTCCCTTCTTCCCAGCGTTAACTTTACTCCGGATTTCTGTACCTCCTCCCCCACAGCGACGCAGGGGGCTGAGGAATGGGGTTGCGGTCAGTTCATCACACATTGTTTCT